CACGCATGCGCCACCCTACCCGCGCCACCATTGATGCCTAGGGATGTAGATCACCGGGTCCTGACTGGAGATTCCATACCAGCACCCAGTGATTGATGGAGAAAGCTCACAGGGGAGAGGCCTGTATGTAAACAATACAGGTCACTCTCTTGCCAGCAAGGACATGCTGCTTTGTATTTCTGTGTACAGCATAGGCATACAAAGCAGCATGCCTTCCTAGTAAAACACACACAGCACATATTGTAAAACAGCACACAGTTAACCCTTTGATCGCCCCAGATGTTAACCCCTTCCTGCCCAGTGTCATTAGTACAGTGTCAGTGCTTTTTTGTTAGCACTGATCACTGTATTAGAGTCATTGGCATGTCAGTGGCAATTAGTCAGTTCCCACCCAGTGTCAGAATGCTCACCGCAGTCCCACTATAAGTCGCTGATCGCCACCATTACTAGTATAAAGAAAAAATAAAAATTCCAATATATACCACCATTTGTAGACGCTATAACTTTCAAGTAAACCAAATAATTTACATGTATTGCGATTCTTTTTAGCATGTAGCAGAATACATGTTGGCCTAATTTTATGAAGACATTTGTTTTGTTTTTTCTTTTTACTCTTATAGCAAAAACAAACATTGTTTTTTTTTTTTTCACAATTTGACTTTTTTTTGTTTAAAACTGCATAGGTGATCAAATACCACTGAAAGAAAGCTCTATTTGTGGGGGAAAAATTACATAAATTTCATTTATGTACAATGTTGCATGACCGCGCAATTGTAAAAGTAATGCAGTACCGTATCACAAAAAATGGCCTGGTCAGGAAGGGGGGTAAATTCTCTGGAGGGCAATGCTGGACTTTGCAGCAGCTTATACTAACATTTCTCTCCCTCCCATCAAACAGTGGCAAAAAATAACTGGTACTTCCAGGTATGTGGGTGCATGTGATTCATTGTCCCTTCCTCCCATGGGCCAGAACTAGTGCTTGGTGATTGGCTGCTCAGGCATACAGTGCTGTCACTTGGAGGCTCTGAGTTATGTAACTCAGAGTAATGATTTCCAGCCTACATGGGGCTTTCTCTTTCTCTCCTGGTGCCCAAACTGGGCTGTAGACAACTAAAGGGATGTGAAGGAAAGTATGTGCAGCTTGGAAGGATGACACAAAAGAGAACTTGATGCTTGGGCCTGCACCTTAACCCTTTGAGGACCGTAAGATTTTGGAATGCCAAAATAATAATTTTTTTTGTTTTTAAAGTTTGTACACTTCAGTTGCTGTAACTAAGCCATTTCATGAAATAATTGGCAAAAAGCTAGATCCATTTGTTGTTTGTTGATAAGAACTAATATTTTGACTCAAACCAAAAAAAAAAAAATAGAGTTTTAAGTTCTTAATCAGATGATACACGCAATTAAAAACATGGGACAAATACGTCCCTTGGTCCTCAAAGGGTTTAGCATGCAAAATAACTTCTTTAAAACAGTTCAGTAGGATGTACAAATCGTTGGGAGAAACTACAGCATGCAAAAATGTATTCAACCCACCTTGAAGGATTGAATACTTGCAGTAGCTTTTTTGTTTGAAGACATAGGCTTCTGGAATGGTAAGCCCTATTTATTATAGCTGTGGTGACAGGGTCACTTTAAAATCAGACCAGACACAGCTAAATAAGTCTAAAAATATGAAAATTGCAAATGGCCTTCATTATTTTAGATAATAGATAAATGCCGGCTAAATAAACAGTAACCATTAATCCTAGCAGGCTGTTACAATAAAATCTATACATAAGAAAACCATATAATAGTCACTAATAGAATTACAGAGTGTGTTTCATAGCACTGTGTGACTAACAAACACATTACTCTTTCCAGCTTACCTTTTCTAAGCTGCTGTTCTTCTGTAAACTCCAGGTCAAGCATAAGATCATCTTCATCCAATTCACAGGACCCCAAATTGTTTAACACATCCTAGAGAGAGAGACAAGAAGATGCTAAAACATCCAAAGAAGCCCAGGTTGTCCTCACACATTTTAGGAATAGTCAGATTTTACATTATCACTGCCACAAGGGTCCCATGAAAGTGATAAAGGAAATTTCTTTCTGTGCACAAATGCAACACACTGGAGTATGTATGTATTGAACTGAAATAACAGAACCGCGCCGTATCTGTCTAAAAAACTTGCACTGTTATGTGATCATATTTCTACCAATCTAATCATATTATCCCCTGGACTGTATAGCTATGATTTAAATTCCCACATTAATATGTAAATTATGTACTATCATTTGCAAACAGATTATGCTAAACAGAATAGTTAAAGATAACAACTGGTATCCATGCTGATTTATATATAATTATGAAATATTTATATGCAATATTTTATCTTTATCCAAGCCCAGGACATCAAGGACATGCCCCTTGGGGGAGTCATTGAACCGGCTGGGCTCACTGAAGAATGTTGGAGAGAATGGCTGTTCTCTGCAGTAATCAGGACCCCTCCACAATGTGACCAAACCAAGTACACCTGCCAAAAAGTGCACAGAGGGCAAGATTTACTAAAACTGGACCCTTCAGAATCTGGTGTAGCTGTGCATGGTAGTCAATCAGCTTCTAACTTCAGCTTGTTAAGCTTTGACAAAAAGAAACCTGGAAGCTGATTGGTTATTAAGCAGATCTGCACCAGATTTAGACGTTCCAGTTTTAGTAAATTTCCTCCAGAGAATTATGTAAAAAGGCTTCGGGGGATCTGGAGTGAGACTGAAGGTGGGAGGTTGCGCCAGAGAAGGATGTGTGCTTTAAGACAGTACCCAGCCAAATCTGTTAAAGGGTTAGTTTACCTTTATATAACAAAAATGCCTATTATGCAGTCACACTACACCATACTGTATGCTGATCAGATCTTACAACCATGCTTCTCCTTTGGCAAAATAGCTGCTTTACATGGCTCGTTCCTCTTTTTTACTACTGTGATGGAGCAACCATTAGGACAAGCGCCCCCTAGCACTACAGGAGGAAGCACAGTCCTTTTCCCAAGGACCAGCAATGTGCAGTGTGCTCCCTCTCTCTTGCCTGCTGCAGCTGCTGAGCTCCGAGCTGACAAGGGAGAGAGCACACTGAGCATGCATGGAAAAAGGATGGTACACCTTTCTTTAGCGCTACAAAGTGCTTTTCTTAACAGCTGTTCTGTCATAATAGTAAGATGGAAGGGGGCCATGTATAGCAGTGGCAATTTTTATGGCAGGATTCAATTATTGTGAATATGGCAAAAAGGTATATTATTAGTAGAGAAGAGGCATGGTTATGAGATTTGATCTGCATAGGGTGTTGCTACAATGTAGTGTGACTGCATAGTAGTTTAGCACCACTATCCCAGCTAACCCCAGGGGGCAGAGAGCTGAAATTACATTCTGCAGAGCTCAGTGAGGGAGAGCTCTGAGAAATGATTGGAGGGAGGAGACCCCCCACACACTTCACACAGCACACAGAAACAGAGCTGAGACTGCTAATCACAAGCTGTGTGCTGAAGACCTCTCCTCTGTCACCTGTTTTTTTTTTTGGTGTCAGGAAAATCCATCAGAAGTGATTTATGCTGATAACAGAGGAACAAGGCAGCAGACAGAAATGACACTTAGTACTCTGGACCAAGACAAGTGCACACTATAGTGGAATTTTGTTCATATTACATATCTGAGGTTTATAACCACTTTAAGTGCAATTTCCCTTAAAGAGAGAACATGGCCTGCTCTTTTCCTTAGTAAATCACAGCCAGTGTTTAAAAGTACTGTACATGACTGTATAAGTACCATTTCAAGATTCCCAACTATTAAAATGGACATCCCCTAGAACTGCTTAAACCATAACATTTTCTTCCAAGGTACTTTAATTGCAGATCTGCAGCAGTTATTCTCTCTCGGCAAATAAACAGAAACAATAATCATTCTCTTGTAAAAGCTTGAAGACTAAAAAGGAGCAATGCGATATTGTTACATGGAAGAATAATACCATGTTGCATCTATTTCTTTGTCCATGGTGAAATGAAACAAGACGCTACACTGAATAACTAAATAATTCATACAATTGCTAGAATTTTCACACAAGAGATACAATTATATATAAATACTGAAGAAAAACAAAGCTATAGACATTGAATCATAATGTGGAAAGTAAATTGATTTTAGCTTACAGACGTTTGGAAAGAGTAGATTTATGAAGATGTGGATTTGAAGTTTTACTGGGTTCCTGTACTTCTGAGATTTACTTTTCCATATTAAAGAAAATTACAAACCTGAAGACTTTTAAAATAGACAAACTCTAAAATCACAAAAATAGGTCAATTAACATCAGGCTACTGAAGTGGATTACAAGTGACCCTAATTCCCCTTTGAGTACGAATCACAGACAAGTATGAGAAGAAAATATAAAACTGTACTTGCTAACAAGGCAGCAAAACCTGAAGACATGTATCTTGTTCATTAAAAGAATTGGAAAGTTTGCATGTCTGCAGTATACAGATGCAATGCCTAGTAATGTTTAGGATGCATAGTACAAAGAATACTTCAAATTGTTTTTATAAATCCATTATTAAAGTTGAACTCCAAGCCGAAAAAAAAAATTTTTTTCCAGGTATATGTTCATTAAAAATCATTAAAGTGATTTAAAGCCCTCAGTTTTTTTAAGTAAATTATGCAGCTGAATGAATCATACTGAGTATTCAACTTATTTTACTAAAAAAGAATTGCAAAAAAGGGAGAATTTCCTTTTTTCTAAATTATTTGGGGATGTGGCAGCATTTTGGCTCATAGGCAATCCACCCATCTTGTTTGTTTATTCATCTTTTACCGTATTTTTCGCTCCATAATACGCACCTGACCAGGAAGATGCACCTAGATTTTAGAGGAGGAAAACGAGAAAAAAATATTTTGAACCAATGGACTGCAGATATAGTACAGGAAATGACCAGAGACTGCGGACATAGTACAGGAGATGACCAGAGACTGCGGACATAGTACAGGAGATGACCAGAGACTGCGGACATAGTACAGGAGATCACCAGAGACTGCGGACATAGTACAGATGACCAGAGACTGCAGACATAGTACAGGAGATGACCGAGACTGCAGACATACTACAGGAGATTACCAGAGACTGCGGACATACTACAGAAGATGACCAGAGACTGCGGACATAGTACAAGAGATGACCAAAGACTGCAGACATAGTACAGGAGATGACCAGAGACTGCAGACATAGTACAGGAGATGACCAGAGACTGCAGACATAGTACAGGAGATGACCAGAGACTGTGGACATTGTACAGGAAATGACCAGAGACTGCGGACACAGTACAGGAGATGACCAGAGACTGCGGACATACTACAGGAGATAACCAGAGACTGTGGACACAGTACAGGAGATGACCAGAGACTGCAGACATTGTACATGTACAGGAGATAACCAGAGACTGCAGACATATAACATGAGATAATCAGAGACTGCGGACAAACTACAGGAGATGATCAGAGACTGCAGACCTTTGGGGAGGGGGGGGGGGGGGGGCAGTTACCAAATTTGATGAGTACCCGATCCCGCGGAGTTGTCCGACCCCCCCCCATAGTCTTGTGGGACACGTGACAGGTCCCAGAAGATTACGGGGCCATTCACAAAGCTCAGTGCTTCTCGCGCATGCGCAGTGGGCACCTGGCTGTGAAACCACAATCTGTCAAAGCTGGGTGCCCACACTGAAGATGCCGGCACCAGGGAGAGAAGACAGCCAGTGAAAGCAGGATACCACTGGACAGAGGAACAGGTAGGACCTAGGAGCAGGTTCTTCTGCACAGTAGAGCTGAGCGGCCGGCCCAGTATTCTAATACGGCAGCGGCAATGGGGGGGGAATACCATAAATAAATAAATAAATTGGTGTAGAGCTAATCCATATAACCGTATGAATAAACATAAACATACATACAAAATAATACAAAATATAATAAGATATTTATATATAACAAATATAGTGATGTATCCAAAGTGATCTTATCCTCATGCAATTCTCTGATCCATTGTGACACACCTACACGTGACACAGAAACGTGAAATAACAAATTGGTCCCAATTGGACCCAATATAGTGAAAAATATCAAAATGACACAAAAAAAACCCCAAATCCCTAATTGGGATCAATGAATCAATATACATAGACCTAGTGCAACAAACAGTGAATCCTGAATCAAAGGGGATAATCCACCTAAATAAAGTGATACGTGCTTAAATACCCCAAATAAACATATAAATATAAAAAAACCACTTTATCAAAAACACATAAATTTCAACCCTCCAATCTGAATAAAAGCACTGTATATTGAAATATACTTCAAATATAAATAAATAATGACAATAAATAAATAAAAAAGTCCAAAATAGTGCAAATCAGCTAAAGTGATCCAATAAATCAAAACCATGCAGGTGATGCGGTGAATGTGCGTTCAAGCCAATGGTATAAATCCTTAAATGGCTAGATTGCCCCCTCACCTCCTTACCGCGACCCACTGGGCCAGCGCGCCTTTTAGGATCACACCAGGATCCTTACAGGCAGTAACTCTTTAGTGGATGGTATCCATAGGAAATCCCCATCAATGGTGGCACTTAAACATCACAGGTCCCCTCTAGATATAGGTACCGCAATATAGCTCACTCTCTCATAACGATCATAATAATGACAGAAAAGAAAGATCCTCCATAGTGCAATACTGTTTATTACATCAATATAGCAAAGAAAACGCCAATTGCCCACTCACTTGTTGACAGATAGACATAAGCTTTCATACCACATGCTATGGATGTACTTCTGCATGGGTTTCAGGTGTGCCAAAATGGCATCTATGCTGGAACTACATCACCGCAAACCTACGCGTTGCATCACGTTAGCCATGTGACTTCCTCAGGGTAACCCCCCCCTCCCCGTAGTCTTGTGGGACACGTGACAGGTCCCAGAAGACTATGGGGCCATTCACAAAGCGCAGTGCTTCTCGCACATGCGCAGTGGGCACCTGGCTGTGAAACCACAAGCAGTCACAGCCGGATGCCCACACTGAAGATGGCGCAGGGAGAGAAGACAGCCAGTGAAAGCAGGACACCGCTGGACAGAGGAACAGGTAGGACCTAGTAGCAGGTTCTTCTGCACAGTAGAGATGCTGAGAGGCCTGGCCCGGTATTTTAACACGGCGGCAGCAACTGGGGGAATACCATATTCACTCCATAAGACGCACAGACATTTTCCCCCATTATTTTGGGGGGAAAAAAAAGTGCGTATTATGGAGCAAAAAATACGGTACTTCCTTTAGTTCTAAATTAATATTGTGCCATGAGCATTGCCGCATCTTTCCTGTTTCAGGGTAGCTCCTTTCTCTTGCAATGTCCTTTGGAGTCACCCTTACATGTAGCAACTAGAGTTGTGTCTCCCTACACTGTGTGCATGATTATTATTATTATGCAGATTTATATAGTGCCAACAGTTTGCGCAGCAGAGGGATAGTACAATTACAATACAGTTCAATACAGAAGGAATAGGAGGGCCCTGCTCATGGAGCTTACAATCTAAAGGTAAGGGGAGATGGTATAAAAGGTGATAGCTGCAAGGAAATGATCTGATGGAGGTGACTCAAGTACAGTTCTTAGGTGGAGGTGGGGTAGGCTTCCCCGAATAAGTGAGTTTTCAAAGATTTCCTAAAGATGGAGAGAGTGGGGGCTGACCAGCCATATTGGGTTAGGGAGTTCCAAAGGATGAGAGAGGTTCTGGAGAGTTCCTGGAGGCAAGAATGGGTGGAGGTGCTAGACAGCAAGATGTCTTGGGAGGAGCGGAGTGGACAATTTGGACAATATATGCATATAAGGTTGTTGATGTAGCTGGGGGCAGTGTTGTGGGTTGCTGTATACATTGTGGTTAGTATTCTGAATTTTATTTGTTGCGCTAGTGGAAGCCAGTGAAGAGATTGACAAAGAGGGGCAGCAGTCACTTATTGGTTGGTAAGGTGTATAAGTCTAGCAGCAGCATTCATAATAGATTGAAGGGGGATAGTCTGTGTAAAGGTAGGCCAGTGAGGAGGGAGTTGCAGTAATAAAGGCGGGTTATAAGCAAGGCATGAATAAGTTGTTTTGTGGTGTCGTTAGTCGGGAAGGGGCAAATTCTGGAAATGTTTCAAAATTTAGTCAATGATTAGATGTGGTGCCTGAAGGAGAGGTCAGAGTCTAGGATTACACCTAGCACCCTGGCATGAGGGGTAGGAACAATGGTTGTGCTATTGATCTTAATGATAAAGTCATGAATTTGGGATCAGGGAGGAGGAAATATTAAAAGCTTGGTTTTAGAAAGATTGAGTTTGAGGAAGTGCTGTGACATCCATGCTGATATGTCGCTCAGTAAATTTGTGATATGTGGGGAGATCGAGGGGGTGAGCTGGGGAGTAGAGAGATATATCTGGGTGTCGTTAGCATAGAGGTGGTATTGGAAGCCATGACAGGTTATCAGTTGGCCCAGGGAGGAGGTGCAGAGAGAGAATAGGAGGAAACCAAGGATGGAGTCTTGGGGTACCCCAACAGAAAAAGGAAGAGGAGCGGAGAAGTTGGTGTTTTATGTAGTATGCTGAAAATATGCTGAGATAGGTAAGAGTAGAACCAGGAAAGAGTAGAGTCACGGAAGCCAAGGAATGTTGTGAATGGAAGCCAGGGGATTAAGAAGATTGTTGTTGTGAGGTAGTAACTCATACAATTCTGCACAATATGCTTGAGAAGCTTTAAAGCAAATGGGAGCAGGGAGATGGGTCTTAAGTTATTAAAACAGGTGAGGTCCAGCTAGGGTTTTTTAAATATGGAGGTAACCAGTGCATATTTGAGAGGGGAGGGAAAGGTGCCAGTGCAGAGGGACAGGTGAAGATGTGGGTTAGACAGTTTAGGATAGAGCAAGAAGGAGGCCGCAATAATTGTGAGGGGACAGGTGGTGAGGTGGGCCTTGGAAAGGAGTTTGGCAACTTCCTTGCTGGTAACAGGGTCGAAGGAGGAGAGTATTGAGTGTGGTGCTGGACCTGGTATGTTGGTTGAAGGTGAAAGCTTGACACTGGAGATCTCATCACATATTATGTCGATCTTGTTCTTGAAATGACTGGCAACCTCCTGGGCAGTAAGTAAGTTGGCGGGTGGAAGCAGTGGGGGTGAAGTAAGGAATTAATGGTAGAAAAGAGTTGACGAGGATTGGATGAAAGGGTTTTGATGAGAGTGGTGTAGTAAGTTTGTATAGCAGGCCAGAGTTGCATTTGAGAAGGGCAGATTTGTAGAGGCTGTGTCAGGGAATGAGAAGATCGCCGCGGCTATCGAATCTGCACATGCGTAGAATCCTGACAAAACATACAGGCAGGCGGGAACTAGGACCCAGGCGCGCCTGTCACCAATGACGGCGCCAGGCAAGCACTAGGACCCAGGAGCGCCTGTCAGGAGTCGGGCGGCCTATTTAAACCCGGCTCTTGCAATGCTCAATTGCCATATGGTCTTATCTGTGTTCCTTCCTGAGAGTAGATTGTTTGTTGCTGACTCTGATTTGCTGTCCGTCTCCTGTTCTGATACCTGGCTTTGTCTGACCATTCTCCTGCTTAACCCCGCACGTTCTGACCTCCTGAACCCGGCTTTGATCTGTTTATCCCTCTGCCTGCTGATTCTGTACTACACCGCCACCACTGTTACCGACCCGGCCTGCCCGATGCTGCTCTAGTTACCTCCTCACATCAGACTCTTACCCGCTATACACCTTCTACGGTGCCTCTACCACAGCTGGGTGAACCCAGGGGCCGCGACCTGGTCTCGGCCTGCTCCAAGTCCATCCCCACCATCAGGGGCCCTGGTGAACAAGCAGGTCGGAGCTTAGATTCCACGCCTTGGGGGATTCCGGTCTGTGGAGTGCTAGAGGCTACCGTGGTTGGATTCCTGACAGGCTGAAGACTTGCAGGGATTTAGTTTTACATCATGCTTACTTAAGAGCACAGCTTTGTCTCTGAGATTTCTGGTGTCATCTGTTTGCCAGGGTTGTAGTAAGCAAGGCCTAGTTCTGCATGTAGAAAGAGGAGCAAGTGTGTCCAAGGAGAATGATAATGAGTTGTTGTAGACAGATGTGGCCAGTTTCTGGGCAGGACAGGGGTGCAATTTTATGGTAAAGACACACAGTAGCAGAGTGAAGAAGGGAAGGACCGAGGAGGTTTCTATGGATAACTGTTAGCTGGTTGGAGCCTGGGAGGTATGAGACAGGGAGAGTATGAAATTGATAAAGTTGTGATCAGAGAGAGGAAAAGGGATGCTAGTGAGGTTACAGGGAGTGCATAGGTGAGAGAATACAAAGTTGAGGGTGTTGCCATTGGCATAAGTGGCGGTTTCTGTCCATTATGATAGGTTAAAAGAGGAGGTTAGGTTGAGTAGTTGAGGAATGGCTGAAGTGTTAACATTAACTGGAATGTTAAAGTCTGAGTCAGAGGAGATAAAGTAGTGTAGCCACTGGATTTGGGAGGCCAGTAAATGACTGTGATTCTCAGACAAACAGGAGAAAAAAGAAGAATACAGTGCACTACAAAGGAGCAGAGGGACAGAGAGGAAGGTGTAGGTGCTTTGTGGGGAAAGAAGAAGTCCAACTTCACCCCCTTTTTTCTGCTGGGTCTGGGTGGGTGAGTCCAGAGGAGGTCAAAATGGGGGAGAGAGCAGCTGAGGAGACAGACTCAGATTCCTGGAGCCAGGATTTAGTAATGGCAAGTAGGTTGAGGGACTGGGAGAGGAAGAGGTCATTGATAGAGGCACGGTTGTTGGAGACTGAGCGGGTGTTCCAGAGGGCACATAAGAGGGGGGGGGGGGACTGGCTCATGGAAGAAGGGGAA